TTCCCTGACCGTCAACTGTCCCGTTATGACCTGAAAGGACCCAAATAATCATTCACAAAGCACCCTCCGGAAAATATAATTACAAAAAAAAATTATGTATCAAAGAGAGGACAGAAATTTTGGAAACCTGATAGTGATGGCAACAAATAAATTGAACTAAACTAATTCATTGCATACAAACATCAGGATCCAAAAAACAATGCATAAAACGTGAGTTAGTTGCTATCAAGAAACTCATCAGTAAGTCGACCCACCACCTTGTTTAAGCTTAATACCTCCTTGATGGAAAGCTTTTATGTCCACCAAAATTAATAATCTATTAACTTTTAAATTAAAGACTGGTACAACTACTTGGCCAACTCAAATAAATAAGAAAATAAATGAAGGGTTTTTACGGTACCTGTAATGACAACATTTGTGAGACCATCCCCATGAACAAGGCTTATATGTCTTCCTCCGAACCTCTCTCTCCCTCTTCCATAAGAAGGCAACGGCTCAATTACAGGCCATTGCTTCGGATCCTATGAATAAAAATGACACAAATCAACCGTTATTGTATCGTCCTCACCAAATGGAAATGAATAACCGCCCAATGAAAATACCCCTTCAAATATTCCACAGGATAAAATAGTTATACAAACGAAGCAAAAACAGAGACTAGTTTACCTGGGAGCCGAGAATTACAGCGCCGTGTTCAAGAAAAAGCGTGAAATTACTGGTGAGGTTAAAACTCCCCGTCAGCCATCTCCCCTTGGGGACATTCAACTGGGACCCACCGGTATTACTGAAAGCCTGCATGTGGAGTATCGCCCTCCTAAACGCTTCCGTGTTGGAGGTGGTTCCGTCGCCAACGCCACCGAAAGCTTCGATGGACATCACCACCTTCCGCTTCGGCACATCCCCGAAGAACCCGGCACAGCTGCTGGCCGGGGCATCCGATCGGGTTTCGAATCCTCCAGTTGGCCAAATCGACCCGACCCATGTCGGAAGCCTCGACCTCGTCGAGAAGTTTTGGTAGGAAAGGATAACCATGATGGTGAGTACGAAAAGCAGAGATGGCCACGTGGGCTTCATCGCCTTACCCAGAAATAAGCCGCTGGGTTTACCTGAATCCATCAACTTACTTGAAAATGAATAAATAAATAAATAAAAGTCAGGCAGATTTTGTCGGATTTTCAAACGTGTGTTTTTGGTGGCGGAGAATATGGCGGCGATGGAACAGTGAGGTGCGCAGGAGGGAGAGGGAGGGGGTTGGGTAAGAGAGGGGAAGGGGCGTACTGCGCATACTGTTTGTATTAGCGCGTTGTGTTTGTCGTGTAGGGTTGGATTCGGAAAGTAGGAGACAAACTGGATCCGCTTTGTTCGGTGTGGGAGGTGGGAGTCGAGCGAGGCGGATGAAAATCCTTTCTGTGAGGACCCTATAGATCAATTGATATTAGCCGTCCATGTTATGTGTTTGTGATTAGCATTGTCACAATTAGAAAATTTATTAGTTTATCAATGTTTCTGTCGCTGGTAATTACGGATATTTGTTCGGGGTGGTTACATTCGGCCATTTGTGGCCTTTGTGTGCCAATGGTCATTTTCAATTAAACATTATTTTACAAAAACAATTGAGAGCTCATATGCACAATTGGTTCGAGACTTCCACCACTATTTTTGAGTATGTATTTAAAGACTGAAACAGAATCTTACTGTTCCTAAAGGAATATTGTTTCCAATAGGAGTCTTATTATAGGAGAATACCTAAATTTGAACTTTGTACAATTCTATGTGATAATGTGATTAGGTGCACATTTTTTATTTATGTTAACATTTTTTGAATTAATTTAACATTACGTTCTCCTAAAATATTTTTGTGAATATTTTAACCAAAAGTAAAAATCAAATTCTGGCACCAATTTTTTTTTTCTTTCACAAAAACGTAATTAGAATGAGTGAATTGAGTACAAGTAAACTGAGAATAGGAGATTAAGTTGTGGTAAGTTTTAGTTGGATAATTTGATACTTATAGGAATGATGAAAGAATAACATGAGAGAGTAACCCCAATTGAAACTGTTAATCTTCCAACGGAGACAATATAAAAAGAGAAAAAAAAAATTGAAAACCAACATGAGAGAATAACCTAAATTGAAATGGTTATTTAATTGGAACTGTTGATTTTTCAATGGTAAAAAAATTTGAAAAGCAAGAATCAATTTGAACCCTCCATTTTAAATGGTTGGAAATAAAATAAAACACAAAGCAATGAGACTGGAATCCACGCCTACTTTTCTATTTAAATTGTCATATTGGATCCACTATTTCACTTCCTATAGAGTACCTAAATTTGGGTACATACATCAAGGATCCGGCGAGTTCATATACTTTAGGGACTCACTTTCCGATTCATTGGAGATTCATTTTGTCCATATATTTTTTTATATTTATTTTATACGGTGGTTGTCTCTATATAGGGACTTCATTGGAGATGCTCTAAGTTAGAATCTCGTGGTATCATTGGTATCATCCAATTTGATCATGGGTTTCCGTCCTTTTATGCTCTAAGGTACAATCCGATTCTTGACCACGGATGCTCGGATTACTACTTTGGAATCGTCGATCTCTGCCATTTCGGCGGCGATTTCCTCCCTCTCTGGGGCTATGGATGCCAAGATGAGAGCATATTTCGATCAGTTCCGCAGTGAGAAATCTTTTGAGAGGGACGAGGATTCTCTCATGATCCTTTTTGTGATGATTTAAGGATTAATCAATCGTATCCGTTCATTATATATTGTGGGATCGGTTTTCGTTAAATACTATTTATATTGAATTTTAAATAAAAAATTTAAATTTCTAACTGCACAATGTACGATAAATAAAAACAATTGATTGATCATCCAGATTCTCACAAACAGGATCTGAAGAGGATCCTATTCGTGTGGGGGGAGGAGATGAGTTTGGTAGATTTGGGTGGTATGAATAGAGGCAAGTGGGAAGAAGCAAAGAAACCGCTCTTCACGGGAGTCTCTTGTCTCTAGAAGGGTCGCTAGCTGGTTTTCAAATTGACATCCATCCCTTTTCTTTTCTTTTTTTTTTATTTCCGAAAACACAAGAAACAAAATTATAGTGACAAAATAAAATCATTGTTTGTTCCAATATTCTTTATTGAATCCCCCTTCCCCAGCGCTGCTTCCTAGCAACTACTGTTCCTATGTTTAATGTATTGGGTTGCTGCTTCCTAGCAACCACCGTTCCCATGTTTAATGTATTGGCGTAGTATGTACGCCAACAAACACCGAAACGAAAACAAATCCACGTTTAGTAATACTTTTGCCATACTGATTTAATATGGCAAAAATATTGCAGCAGTCAACCCCAAATCTAAAAGCACACCTGAAGAACCATAAATTAAATCTTCAAGGGTTTGAGCCAAATTTTAAGGACACAGCAGGTGTTGACTTTGTATAGATTTCTTATTATTTCAGGATCCCTTTAATCTTGGGTTTCCTAATTTAGGAGATTGTCTTGTAATTATTTTGTAATTATTTTTTTCTGTTTATAGTAGGATTGTATATGATTATATATACCTCTAAATGAGAAGAATAAAACACACATTCAAAACATTCTCTTCTACAGGAACGAGAATTTAAAGAAAAACTTCATCATTAATAGCATAAAAGCTTTATATTCTATAACAAGCACTTTATATATAAAGTGCTTGTTATAGAATATAAAGCTTTTATGCTACTAATGATGTACTTTGTTAACATTCATCTCATCTTTTTTACCAGATTTGTTGAATGGAATAGTTTTGAACGTATATTCGTATGTGTGCGCGTTTAAATTTGACCTAAAACAATATCGAAACATGGATTGTTTACCGACTGCAAGATCAAGGTCAATTCAACTCTGTTTTGTAAATTACCCAAGTCATGTACCATAAGACTATGACACATGCACCCGATATGTAAGGCTTAACTTAGATTCTCTTAACTGGGGATTCCTAGCCTATGATTGTTGTAGTTTTGTAAAAAAACTAGGATTATATAAGCATTTGGTAAAGATATCTGCAACCTGAACTTTTGATGCTACGTATTGAATCTCCACATTACATCTTAAATTTTTTTAAGGTGTTAATTAAAGGATAACTTAAACTTAACTAATAACAGGTAAAAGTGTTGAACGAAAACAATTCACTAAACAAAGTAATTTACGAAGTACTTTACAAGAAAGGGAAACAACAACATTTTAAACAAGTATTCTACCATAAAAGTTCAACAACTGTCTACAAGCAACTCTCTTCTTCCAAGTCAGCCATTGGATTTCTGTCTCGGCTCCCCTACAACAAAATTATTAAAAGAAACTAATGAAAAAAGTTTCAAAACATTGAATTTTAACCAAAAGCACCTTAATAACTTTATTTAATGACTAAAACAAATCCAACGTCTAACCAACCCAATAAGACCGGCCTAAGCAATGAGTTCCCAATTCTGCCCCTGACGGCAAACTTTTGCATGTTTAAACGCTCTCTTGCTTTCCCGATCTCTCCGCCCTATCTCGATCTCTCCTTTGCACGGAAACAATATTCCATTTTTGCAATCGAACCAATCAAATCTCTCTCTTTCTCTTCCCTTCTCATCTCTCAACCCAATCTCTGTTTTCGTTTTCGATTCAATTCGAATTCCACCATTTTTCGAATCAATTGAATCGATCGGATCCGAAAAGCATGAGCGAGCTTCTCAGCATCGAGCATCTGGAGCTCAATTTCCCCTAGCAGTATAAAACGCTCTCTTTCTCGTTCGATCTGTTTTTTTGTTTCAAAAGATTTGCATGTTGTGGTTTCGTTTCTATTTTCAATTTGCGGTTTTGATTTTGCTATTGAATTTCTCCAATCGAATTGATGATGGAGGTGGAGACAACGGCGGCCGGGCAGCTGGAGCTACCTGCATTTCCCAGCTTTAGAAACTCAAGAGATCTTACATCCTAATAGCTAATAGAAACTAATAAAACTTATGCATCACAGTAATCCATAAATGAAAATACGATTGACTCTTAAAGGTTAAAACTTGATCAAACAAGGCCTTGTATAATCCCAGATACGCGCATTGCTACTTTTACTCGTGAGGTTTCAACTGCGGAAAAAGTCCCATTTTGTGCTCCGGCATGAAATCGTGCCGTGTCAAGATTCCAACGGTTGGAGGCCTCTGCAAAATGTAATAATTCAGAACAATGTTACAACGCTAAACTATCAGTAAGTTGGCATTTCACCTTCTTTTTCATCGGTGTAATAATCACTAAGCACTAGACACATGCATGTTGAATTGTTAACAGAGAGAGACATACCCTTTTGTCTAATTAAGACACTAACAGCAAGTGCCTGCAGCCAAGCTTCCGAAAGAAAATAGCAGCTTTAGCAAGGGACATTGTTTCCACTACGGTGTATGGTGAGGTATTAGTAAGGGGGTGGAGATCAAGATACGTCTCCATCTCTTCCTCCTGAATGTCCAAATCCTCCAAAAAGGCCTCCGATAACTCCAAGTGATGCAAGAAAGAAGCAAGGGTCTCGAAGAGAAGAGGGATAGGTCGCGTGGGAATCGCTTTACCAGGGGCAACAGATCTTGCGAGAGCCACCCTGTCCGGGCAAAGAGGCTATGCAAGCGCCGGTGTGAACTGTGAACCATAGGTCCTTCCTCACCCAAAACAAACCCAGCAGCTACTCCAAATATAGAACCAAAAATCATGAGTGACATTTAGCAGCATGTCATGATTATCTGAATTAGATAGAAATATATGTGAAATAATCATGATACTCATTTGAATTTCGATTGTAGATACTATGTAATTTAATTGTGTCGCAATGCAATTCGATTCTTTTATCATCCATATCTCGATCAAGATTTAAGTGATACGAAATAATGTCAAATTATTTTGAACAAAACACCTTATTCAAAATAAAATAAATAAGTCATTTAGTATTACGGTCTTAAATTCGATTCTTGCAAATGTAGACAATACCGATTGTTAAAAAAATAAATTGGGGGTTTAAAGTGGACATGCGCACGTCATGAAAAACTGAGTATCCTTGGGGTTGTGGATTTGTGGAAATCCAACTTTCAACTTTCAAGTTTCCACTTTCCACTTTGCTGGCGCTGTTTTTCTTTCTTTCAATCGTAAACAAACAAACAAACAAAGCACTCGGATTCAATCAGAGTCAGCCCACAAAGTACACGCTCCCCCCCTCTCTCTCGTCTCCCAGTCAAAATCCATCACCAACCCCACTTTGTATATGCTCCGGTTTGTGAGGTTCTTATCTTCAAACTCTCTCACATCTTCCTTCTGAACCACTCTCTATGTTCTTCTCACCACCAAATCAAATCTCTCTGCTTCATCTACTTCCTCCCCAGAATTTTCCCCTGGATGTTTATAGTTTTTGTCTGACATCTTCATCATCCATCATTCATCGATTGTGTTAGACGTACCCAAAGGACTTTGAGTTTTGTTATATTCCTTCGATTTTCCAGTTGTGGTTTGAGGCACTATTTGTTCACAGTTTCAGTTATAAATCATAGCTGATTCTCCAGAATTGAAGTGTTTGTGTGTTCATATATTACATAAATGGTACTGAGAATTTAGACTTGGAATTCGGGTTTGAATTTATTTTCTGGAAACTGGAAAGCCATGGCAAGAGGCAGAGAAGACTACGAGAAGAACATGGGTTTGCTCAAACTCTTGCAGATTCTCTCGTTCTTGATAGTTTTTGTTATGGGGGTCGTTATAGGATTAGCAACGAGGGCGCATATGAACCGGTATTTTGGTTCCCAAACTGAGAATTATTCGCTTATCAATCACCTCTCCGCCAATAAGCCGCACGAGGAGAAGAATTGTACAACTGTGCCAGTTAGTGACAAGGTTGATTGTATGAGCATGGAGACGTTTCTTCAGCCGAAGACTTTGACACACGGTTTGTCCGATGATGAGCTCTTTTGGAGAGCTTCAATGGTGCCGAGAAAGCGAGAGTTTCCATTCAAGAGAGTGCCTAAAGTGGCTTTCATGTTTTTGACTAGAGGACCTTTGCCCTTGCTGCCATTGTGGGAGAGGTTCTTTCAGGGCCATGACAAGTATTTCTCAATTTACGTCCACGTGATTCCGGGTTATAAGCTCAATGTATCTACCACCTCTCCTTTTTATCTACGCCAAATCCCCAGTCAGGTACAAGTAGCCTCAATTGAAGTGCTATGAATCATTATTGCTTTGGTGCAAAACTTCTTTTTTCTGAATCCATGTCTTGCTATTTCCTCTTCGTGATCCTTACGGTAGATTTCCTTGTTTGTCGTCGTAACACTAAGTTTTAGCATGGTGTTGTAATTCCTTCTTCTTAGTTTAAGAGAGTTTCAATGGGCGTAATGTCCACGTATCAGTTAGGTAGCAGTATACGGTATTGTTAGATCACTTAGATTTGTCTTAAACTTGTACCCCGAGATTGTTCTGAATTATCGAGTAATCTGAGATGAAGAAAAAGGCCTGAGAGTATGAAGCATTTACTATTATTTTGCGTGCATCTATCATTCGCGAAGATAGTATGGTCTACGTTCTTAATGAGTTACCTGATGCTTACCTTTAAAAATTTTCTTCTCTGCAGCCGGTTTCATGGGGGACACTAACGTTGCTTGATGCAGAGAGGCGCCTTCTAGCGAATGCCTTGCTTGACCTCTCAAATGAGCGCTTTGTTCTTCTCTCGGAGAGCTGCATCCCTATCTATAATTTCACAACTGTCTACGAGTATCTCGTTGGTTCAAACCATAGCTATGTCCAGTCATACGATGATCCTGGGCGTTATGGCCGTGGGCGTTACAGGCGCAATATGTTTCCCGATATTACACCGCGTCAGTGGAGGAAAGGGTCGCAGTGGTTTGAACTTAGCCGTGCGTTATCTGTATATATAGTTTCGGAAACAAAGTATTACACAATCTTCAGCAACTATTGTTTGCCTGCATGCTACCCGGATGAGCATTACCTGCCTACTTACATCAACATGCTCCAAGGCTCGCTGAATTCGAATCGGACTGTGACATGGGTTGACTGGTCACTGCGAGGTCCGCACCCTACAACGTACGGAGGAGACAATATTACAGAAGATTTCCTGCGGTGGATAAGGAATAATGGAGCGCCGTGTCAGTACAATGCGGAGATGAAATCCATATGTTACCTATTTGCTCGGAAGTTTGCACCAACTGCATTGGAGCCTCTGCTCAAGCTCGCCGCGGTGGTGATGGAATATTGAGAATTTCCGGCTTTTTCAGCGGAGAATTTTGGTAGGACTCGAGTCGATTTTGTCACAAATGCAAAAATGTACAGGCAGGTAGTTTTGGATATAGAGATATTATTGAGTTGGTTCTCTCCGTCACTGAGTTGAGAGAATGAGTTAGTTCTCAAAATTCTGAAGGAAATCATCAATATATTATACAAAAGTTATAGTTAAATGTATTTGGCTTGAATTTTCTCCAATGCACATTAATTGCGTATTTAAGTTACACAGTGGAACAAAAATCGTTAGATTCAGTTAAATCAAATAATTTAACCGTTTTGTTATAACAAGACCAATAATATCAATCCAATTTTTCTTGTGTATTTATAGTAATTTCATCCCAAAAAGTGACAGCAAACCAGCATCCATAGCGTACTGATAAGAATATATAACTTTTGTAGCTAAATTAGTCATACAGCTACCATCTGTCTGTGAAAAAAAAATAACAGAAACTAAAATTTTAAGAAAAAAAATGGAAGCTTTTTTCTCCTGCAAGGGACCATGGTAGTATCCAATTCAATCAAGGGTTTTTACAAATCCAAAACTATAAAAAATTGAGAAACAAATTAAAAGTTGAGATCGATGAACACCGTACTTAACGGTAAACACAGAGCTCTTGGATGAACCCTCAGTTAAAATTCTTTACCTTGTTGCATAGCACGGCCCAAGAAGAACCAAACCATTTGAAAAACTGATATTCCAAACATAACAAAACTAAATGAAACATCAAACCTCAGAAATCATAATGCTTCTATACAGTGAATGATCTTTATGAACCACAAATCCTAAAAGCTTATCACCGGAAGATGGGAATTACACATTTCCATTGGCCAAAGGATGATACACCCAACGTCAAACACCTCATCATGATCAAACCAAACTAAACTTTCATTCAATTAAGTCTCGCACACTTTATTAAGTTAAAAAGAAGAGTCCAATTCTACCAAAACTACATACAGAAACCGAGAACAAACAGTGGTGCAAACCTAGATAAACGTCTAGATCAACATTAACATTAGCCACAAACCTAGATAAACCAACACTAAATTAGACTAAACTAATAACACGTAAGTTCAAAGCAAATTCCAAATCAAAATTTTGGATAAAACCAACAACAAAACCACACCTTGTTCCTGCTCTGTCTCCCTTCTCTTGCTTGTCTCTTTTGCCAAATCCCCACATGAAGCCTTTTTTTCCTCATTTTTTCTCTTTTGGCTGCTCACTTAACCCCCATTTTTTTTTTCTCTTCACTTTCCTCGATTTCCAGTCCCCCCTTTCTTCCACATCTGTCTTTTTATCCTCATTTTTTCCATCACTACTCTTGACACTAATTCTCCACTCTTTTTTATCTCTTAATTATTTTAACCAACCAAAACATGGGATCACATTTCCACAGCCCAAAAAAGGCGGTGGCAATTTTGTAAATAAACCGAAATTTCCCCAAATCACTGTTCAGTTGAACACGGAGACAGAGTCGGAGAAGGGGGAAGAAAAGGCAGTGGTAATTTTGTAAATAAAGTGAAATTCGGCCAAAAACACTGTTCAGTTGAACAGTGTATTTGGATTTCCTACTTTAGACTAAAGTAGTGTGTGATTTTTTTTTTTTCAACAAACGATATTATTTACCTTAAGGGGGAAGAGGATAGGCTAAACCTCACAATGGACTAACAATAATGTGGTTTAAATTCGTTTTTGGCGAGAATCGAACTTAAAACCTCTAAGTTACAAGTAAAAAGGAATACCACTAGACCGTAATACTAAATGGTTCTTATAATGTGTAACTTAAATATGCACTTTTGATGAACATTGGAGAAAGCCTCGAGTTTTGGCTTGTGTTGTCTTGGTGAAATCAAATAACAACCAATGGGAGTGAGCATATTCGTATTCGATACAAAAGTTAGATGCTCGTTAAACTACAGCGACTGTACATGTAATTTGACTTATTATTCTTGTTCTATTATAGGCACAAAATTGACATTTTATGACACACTCAAGTAAAAGACGGGGCTTATATCTGTATGTGGAATTTACATATATTAGAGAGTGTCAGCAAACGTTTCAATTCAGATATCTGCTTTTCTAAGTTCACATTTACAAAAACACTCGTACAAGCAAGATCGGAACAACAATGGAAACCAAATCTCAGTCCAAGGAAAGGCAATACATCTCAGAATCTTGGCTGACATTCCCACTACATTTTTCAGAATACAACAACTCCGAATTTCTTGGGCTTGGGATTGGGTTTGGACTGGAGAGGCGAGGGCTGGGATCCCGACTTTATTTGGAAGAAAATGGGGGAAGAAGAAGCGGCTTTGGAGAAGAATACAGTGGACTAACCAGCAGCAGTGCGGAGACTGTCTGTTGCTCCGGCAACATCACGATGACATTAGACTGCAGCGAACCCCTAATCCTGGCACAGCGACAGCGGGTGCTTACCGGAAACTCCCATCAAGTCTTGGCAGGAACCCCTAATCCTGTTTTACCTGTAATCCAAGCTAGATATTGTGTTCCAACATTAGACTGCAGCAAGGGGGGAGTATCATACGTATCTCTAATGCTCTCTCAAAAGAAAATTGAAATGATGCCCCAACCCTAACCGTTAGCCCAACTGCTCAAGACGAGAGGATGCATTGCATTCATAGAATTATACGCATATGAAACACAACCCACAGTGCATTATTCTACAGCAGTCATAGAATTTCAAAAAGTATCCATTAATTCGTGTATACGTACGTACGCCAGACATTGAGTCGCCTGGCTATATGGAATATAAAACATCAAATATATAGTATATTGTAGTTAACTAGCAGGCACATATGAACAAAGGAAAGAAGCGAAAAATGAAACATTACTCAATACAAGTTAATTAACAAGTCCTGCTCGAAAAGTAAGAGATAAGACGGTCTTTTATGATTTTTCATCTCTCAAACCAAGGCCAAGTACTTGCCTGAATACAAATACAAATACATAGTCGACTAAAAAGGAGCTAAGTCAATGGGAGCAAAAATGAAATATACAGAGACATTGATTCAAAACAAAATACTGAAAATGATGTAGAATGAAGAGCCATAACAGAGTCACTAATTTTCTTCTATCAATAAAAAATAATGAAACAAGACTGTATAAGAACATAATAGAATGTATAGACAACAATTAAATATATAAGCAATGGGGGGAAAATTGATTTCAACCGAGCATAGTCCCCTGAAAAACTAAAGCTGCGGCAGTGCCAAATGGTGCAAAAATGCAAGTCACCACAAGGAACCAGTTTGAAGAACAACAATCAAACTACTAAACCGAACCATTCACTAGGATGTATTCACCTACCGTGCATCTTTAGGGTGTGAATCTCAACACATATTTAACATGCACAAGACTTGATAATTGAATGGTAATTTTCATATAAGTCAAAGTAATCTTTAACAACCATAAAGATGGCCGAGCACAAGAATAAATAACTTATCCTATTAATCGCTGTAGAGCATATAAAAGAGAATTCAGTCACGAGAGCCCCTTATACACCCAATTGAACGCTTTAAGCTTGCGGCATGGAGAGACACTTAACGTAAGTTCAATGTAGCATTGGCCAACTTAACAATCAAGACAAAATTGCCGGCATCTCTATCAATCACTTGATATCTAAGGACCAAGCAGCTGCTGCCTGTTCTGTATTTTGTGGGGGTTCTCATGGTGATTGGTGAGATCCTGTCCCTTGAGCAGGTTCTGACAGAGGGCGCTGTGGTCCTAAGCTCTGAAAAGCTTCAGATGGCGGGTACGAAGTTGTCACATGAGGGAGTCCGGACGGAGGGTGGCGTGGTACTGCCGTTTGGGAGGCTCCTGATGGAGAGTAATACTGTCCAGTCATTTGAGGGGATTGAGCTGTAGGGTGCTGGCTTGTAGCCATCTGTGGAGGTGTTGGTGGTGATTGATAAGTTCCAGTCATTTGATAGGGTCCAGAAGGCGGCTGATACGTTCCAGATGGTGGCTGATAGGGTCCAGATGGCGGCTGATATTGTCTAGTCATTTGAGGCAGTGCCGAAGACGGACGATATTGTCCTGCCATTTGAGAAGGTCCTGACGGAGGCTCCTGTCCTGCCATTTGAGGCGATCTTGGTTGGAATTGCCGAGGTGGTGCCTCTCTAGGTAGTGGTTGGTATCCTCGCCTATTTGTATTTAATACTCTCTGAATCTCTTCACCACGCCCAGCTTCTCCAAAAACCTCATTTACAAACTGCTGTAATGCTGGAGGAACACCAATGCCATACCTCACCATCTCTTCCAATAAATCACAGCCTGTATCAAGCGCACCTTCATTGCAAAGCCCCTTGATCACAGCTTCATAAAAACTGGCATCGGGTTTTGGTTCTTTTTCTCCCATTTTCTTCAAAATCTGCGCACAGTCTACTACCTTCCCGTTCTTAATCAATTCATCAAACACCCTATTACCAAGACTCGCAACCACTCGCAGACCAACCTCCACCATCCTGCTAAATATCTTAAGCGCATCATCTATCCTCTCTACTTTCAAGTATGCATCAATCAGCGTCCTATGAGTCGTGACATCCGGGGTCAATGACTTTGAGGACAATTCTGCAAACAGTGTCTCAGCCTCCGGCAACATCCCATTGTCACAATATCTAGCAATGATATTGTTATACCCCGCAACATCCATAGAAAATGGCTTTGAATTCACCTTTGTCCCCACCTTCTTGAAGGTGGCAATCGCCTCATCGCACTTTCCAAGCTTAAAACACTCATTAACCATAATGTTAAATGTATCCGAATTCACAGCCTGGAAGTTTGGCGGGGTGTGATTATCCAACATCTGATCGAACAAATCCCAGGCTTCCTTCTTCTTCCCATGCTTAAGCAATACCTCCAAGAGAACATTACAAGTTGCCGGGACCATCCTAAACTGCCTATCAAGCAAGGACTTGTATGACTCCATCGCCTCCTTCTCTTTCCCCTGGTTGAAAAACCAATCCATAAACGTTGAATTCACGACCCCATCATAAACCAAACATCTCTCTTTAAGCTCATCAAAAAGCTCAACAGCCTTCTCCATATTCTCCAAATGTAAGAACCCCTTAATCAAATTATTATAAACCAAAGAATCCGCTCCGTGGCCCTTATTCAACATCTCCCTCAACAAGTCCACACCCTCACCTATCCTTCCAGCATCGACCAACCCTTTAGTCAAATGCCGGTATGTCACGGGCGAGGGACTGTAGGGGCAATTTGCAATTATATGCCGATAAATCTCCAGGCCCACATCGACACGGCCCTCGTCGCAGTGAGTATTAATCAAATTATTATAAGATACAATGTTAGGAACAATGTTTGATTGATTGAAGAAGAAGTGGAAGAGGGCAATAGCGTCATTATACCTCTTGGCGCGGTACATTGCAGCCACAATGGCATTGCAGGTGAAGACGGTGGGGCGAGTGTTGGAGAAAACCGAGCGGCGCGCAACCTCGGAGGCCGCGTCCAAGTCTCCGGCGCGGATGAGCGACTGGACGCGGTTGTGGAGGTTGAGGCGGGGACCGACGAGGGCGGAGGTGGTGTCAGGTAGGCGGGGGGCGTTCGGGTCCCGTGGAGGAGGGGGGCGTGAGTCCCGACGGAGGGCGTTGAGCGGGGGCTCGATGCGGAGGCGGCGCTTGCGGCGTCGGCGCTCAGCGGCGGCTTCTTCGGCGGAGGAGAAGGCGAAGGTGCGCGTGGGGGTGGTGAGATGGAGAGGAATGTTATGGCTAGGGTTGTAGAGGTGGAGAGAGGAGAGGGATTGGGTTAGGGGTAGGGTTGTTGGGGTGGAAGGGCGGCGGAGAGAGCGGACGAGCAGGCGGTAGAATGACATGGCTGTGAGACTGTGACTGTGAGAGAGGTGCAAATGCTTAAACCCTAGCAATCTGGGAAATGAAGGTGGAAGAAGGAAGAAGGGGTTTGGTGGTTATCAGCTTTTGACCTGCGCGCGTTATGCTCCGACCAAAAAAAAAAACTGTCCTTTCACGTTTGGGCCAGACCAGAGCATTAGACATAGACTAGTTGGGCTGAATTGCAAACTTGCCCACGGAGCCCAGATGCTTTTTATTTTATTTTTTTGGCGAAAGAAAGTATTTTTCCAGTTAAGGTCAAGGGAGGACGCACTTCGGTTTAGTGCAGTTTTGAGTGAAACCAAAATCAAAACCACAAGTTTTTGCGGTTTGGTTTGGTACGATTTTGAGGTTAAAATCGAATTAAAACCAAACTATTTGGTTCGGTTTGGTTTGGTTTTAAACGGTTTTGGTACGATTTCATTGTTTGAAAAAAGTATTATGGTTACCTAATTGTATCTCATTTCATTTTTCTTTGATATACACTTCAATTCTCTTCTACGGTACAACTTTTCTTCTATAGTTTACTTGAAATTTCTGCACAAACAAGGGTAACCATGTCTAGAAAATCTTTCACAATAACAAACAGCTGAAATGGTGTAGCTCCTTTGTCTCTCGAAGCTCCTGCTTGGTAGTACTCGGTTGTTTTCCTCACAAGCTCCATAACCCTAGTTTGCTCGTCTCTCACCACTGTGAGCTCCACCTCACATTCCTCCAAAAACCACTTCATTTTTTTTGCAAACCTTTCTCTCTCGGCATTGCTACTCTCTACCAAAAGCTTCTTGATTTCGCTGACACAATTGCCTAGAGCAGAGCAAAGCACATGTGGATGAAGCTGTCATACTCTATGGTTACTGCTTTCTTCACATTGGATAGTTCAATGCTCAATCCTTCTAGCTTTGACAACCCTTGGATTAAGTACTCTTTTCTTCGCTCTTCAGGAGTTAGATTATCCGAATTCAGTGTACTAGTTTGGCTTCTTAGACTAGTGTTTCTTCCAAAGCTACGGTTTTGATTTATCACGAAACCTCTCCCCTCGGATTGAGCTAAATGTATGGACTCAATGAAATAATCAATTAGAATTTAACATTTAATAAATTTATGCGGTTTCAGTTTCGGTTCGATTTCAGATGGCCGGAACCGAAACCAAACCGTTTTTCCTTCATTCGGTTCAGTTTCAAACCGAAACCATTTTGAACCGCAAAACCAAACCGTTCAGTGCTGTTCAATTTGGTTCGTGTTTCGGTTTCGGTTTTTGGGTTCAAGTGCCCACACCTAGTTAAGGCCGTTTGGAAGTGCTTTTAAAAATAACAAAAAACACTTTCAAACACTAAAAATACTTTTAATTATGTTTAGAAATTTTTTTTTTTAAATTCTTATGTGTTCAAAAAAGCCCTTTATGAAAGGGGCACATGTTAAAGACATTTTCAAGTGATTTTCCAAATGAGTCCACAATCACATTTTGCTGGAATATATAGTTGTGCATCTTCTTAAGAATTACAAGGTGGCAGACCACCTTACTGATCTAGGAAGTGGCCCCTGTTATTGTATTAGGTTTCTTTTTTGGACGATGATGTTTTAGGTGTTTCAAGGCTTCGTGTTTGTTAACGATGGGCCCAGTTAGGCCCACCCACGGACATAAGCCTAGGAAAGGCCAGAAAACCCAAGGCCCAAGGAATTCGGAGAGAGCCAGCCCTACCATCTGAGACGAAATAAGGACTACCCGACTGAGATCATGTGGGAGTGTTGACAACTTTATGGCACATATCTCCAAGAATTGAACTGTGCTAGTTAGACTATTCAGCGACGTGCAGACAATGGTAAAGACCTAGGATGGGACATAAGGGCAATCGAGACATTGCTCGGCAAGGCAGATTCACCAAGGTCTGAACGGGATGCTCGAGGCACTTGGCCCTTGAAGGGTTTGCCTTTTGATTGCCAGAACGTCACTTCGTTGACAAAAACCTGGGCAAATAGGTGAAAAGTGGTCAGAAAGATAGAACAACTAGTTAGAACATTAAATATCGGTTTGAGAGGCCTCAACGGGCAGGTAAAGATCTCCATAATGGGGGTCGGACGAATCGGAGAAAATAGAGTGAATGTATTAGCCAAGTGCTATTTAGTCTTGAAATCAATTTATTAAGAGTAATATAATGGATGTAGCCCAATTTGAAGAATGAACCACTTATTTATTTGAATCTATTTAATTTTAGCCCATCGCCCATCTTATGCTATTTAATTAAGTTTGTTAACCTTACAATTTTGAGTGTTAACAATGTCATCTTGCAATTTTAGAGGCTTTAGCCTCGCCTTCTCACCCAAAAGTAAAAGACCAAATTAGCCCATTCAAAACTCAAATGTAAACATCATAATCAAAAGATATGCTACTTGAACATTATCATAGGATGAAACAAAGAAATATAATAAAAGAAACATAAGCATGGACAAACTACGCAGACAAAAAGTCTCCCCTCTTCTTTCTCTAAACTTCTCTCTGTGAAAGACTCCCAGCAATTTCACGCCGACCTTAGCCTTTGGCTTAGGTGTCGGAGGCATCCTCCCTCCCTCCTTCCTTCCTTTATTCGTTTCCTCCCTCTTCTCCTTTTCCTCCCGAGTTTTCTCAGGTTCTCCTTTCTTTGCACTTTCCCTAGTTTCTTTCCCTCGTCATCTCCTCCCCCTCCCTGCTTCCCTTCTCATCTTCCTTCATCTTTTCCAGTTTTCTCCCTTCCTTTTTAGTTCTTGGTTCTCCCCTGAGTTTAATCCCAGTTTTCCTTGAGCCGAGTCTCAACTATCTAGGGCTTCTTGCCTCTTATCTGGCCTTTTTTTGCCTGCTTTTACTGCTTTTTTGTCTTTTATTTCCCTTTTTCCCACCTCCCACCTCCCTAGTTGCGATAGTTCATCCCCATCCCACCATGTGCTTGGATCGGCTTGCAAAAATTGGATATCATTTCCACTTCCCGCCCTCACTTCCCCTCATCCAACCAGCATGCCGGATCTCCATTGAGGCCAAGTGTTGGGTATTTACATACCCCTTAGCCTCACCCTCTTCCCACATATTACTTTATTTGTATATATGTACAAGGGTTCATAAGGGGACTTGGATCTGGTGTCTACTTTATCGATTCGGAGTTTGGCCGCCTTCGAGGATGTGACAGGGGCAACGATGTGGTCTTTGCTGCTGGAGATTAGGGTTTTTTATTGTCTATTTTTTATTGCCCTCAGGCCTAAACTTGTATGGGTTTCTTATTGTATCTTGGGTCGCTGCTTTCATTTTACTTGGGCCTTTTACTTTACATGTTGTTTACCCATTTTTTTGGGCCTTTTACTAATTTTAATTGTAATGAAAGTTGTCTTTTTAATCAAAAGAAAAAAAAAAGAAAAGAAAGAAACATAAGCACATCCTAAATTTTAACCTTCACATTAATGCAGTGAGCCTTGGTAAAAAACCTTCCCGAATAATTTGTGTACTTACTAGTGCCACTGAGTAGGCTACTGCAAACGCAAACTTGGAGTCAATAGGGCGGAGAGAAAAATGTATGTTATTAGAAGCAACACATAATGCTGCGCAGAAGCCGCTAGTCCATACAAGAATACTTCCACCCAATTGTTGACTCCTCTATTGAACAATTGGACACAATTGGTCAATACTCAAGAACATCAATGTATATTTTACAACGTCAAAAAAACCTCGTCAATCTAGCACAACCTCATAGCAAAATTGATTGGATGCAGTATACGATCGCAACAAGATAAAACGCGGGACATTGAGTGAACCAATCAAGGGCAAACTTTCTCCTACGCATTTCCATTTGGCATCTCTGCACTCCTTGCAGCTCTTTTCTGCAAGTCAGATTCATAATGTTGAAAGGCCGCATCAAGAGCCTGCACCAAAATAATCATTATATAAACACTAACCGCAACCAGAACAATCAAATATAAACACTAAAGGCCACTACCAATCAAGAGCCTATAGATAAAGGCCTATAAATAATCAAATATAACCAAAACAATCAAGAGCCTATAGATAAAGGCCACTAACCGCGACCAAAACAATCAAATATAAACACTAAAGTAAACAGTTTAGCGCAAGTGGATTGGTTCTTTAAGACAATACTCTTTTTAGCTGAAAGAATACACAAAACAGAAAGAGCGCACTTGGCCGACAGAACAAGCAGCAAAGCATGTTACAAAAGGTTGATCGTATAAAGCATTAGAGAGTTTCCAACTTACTCTGTCATCGATAACACATTGTAAAAATCCTATAAACAAGATTGTTTCTCGACATTCATATTCAAATTTATTAATTCATTCACTTAAAGCTAAAACTAAAAATGGAAGCAAGGTCCTGACCTGATGCATTGGACGAACAAGGAGTGAAACCTGGTGCCGGAAGTCTGATTCCTTTATCTCCTGGAAAATTTCAACCGATACGTGAACCAAGTAGATCCTAAACCTTCTTTCAAAACAATCAAGCCTGATTACAATGCGGGATATAAACATGAAATCAATATTGCATATATGAAAAACAAAAACGAGAGTTTCGATAGATAACCAAAATGATATATTTTTTTTTTTTTTCTTTCTGTTTTTCCTACACCCTTTTTCATGAAACAGAACTAAGATGTTGAACTGCGAAGGTGGACCACTAGCTAAGAATCTCTGGGCGGTCAAAGCAGTAAATTAAATTATGCATCAAATCCTCCAATAAGAAACCAATGTCTCTCTCCTCCAAATCTCTTTCCATCTATCCAATCCAATGAAGATCCACTGTACACCCAGGTTGCTATTGACAGGCAGTTTGATTTAAGACACATTCACAGAAGATCCCCAACTGATTGTCAAAGCTATATGGAGACCGGATTTAATAGAGGATGATACTGTGTTAGCCATGAGGCAAAGAAGGCACCAAGAGAACTTAACTACTTTTGAGGTGAAGGAACCTCGAATAGATGAGGCAGACAACACTAGTGGGATGGTTTCAGCAGTTACTATAAAATTACTCCACATTCCACATGAAAAATTTAAAACAGCTCAACATCAATAATGACACTAAAGGAGACCAAAATCGGTTATAGCTTTAAACTTCTGACAATTATTTCTATAAACCACAATATGGTGTTTCATATGCTTAGAAAATGCATGTGGGTTATGTTTAAATAGCCCGGAAACTAAACAAATGAGAAAAAAGTTAAAATAGCAGGAATGATACCTCTAGCTGTCGATAGATTTGTGACATGGCATCTTTCAGTTTGCCTACCTGCTTGAATAATTTAATGAATCCACAAAGAACAAAAATAATTTAAAAAAAAAAAAAACCCCATGTTGAAGAGATTCAAACAGTGATGTTAATGAGTAATGATTTTCATAAAGCATAAAGGAAACAGAGCTAACCTTTGTAGAAAGATAAGCTGTCGTAATTGGATATGAAGACCAAAAATGCCTCAGTAATTCTTGAATGGACATCCAATGCTGGAATAAGAACGTACCCATAAATCAAATAAGAACTGTGAAGTAAACAAAACCTAATGCAACTTAATCAACTCTATGTCAAAGAGAACAGAGCCAGCCGCAGTTAACTTTTACCATAATACTTACAAAGCAGCTAATAGTACATAGAAAATAAACAAGTGTTATTCACTCACATGGAGCAGTTCCTCTTTCATTCTGCTCGGCAAACTGTCTAGAATACTCTCCCGAGGATTCTTTCCAAGTTGATACTTGGTACTTGAAATATTCTGAGTCAGCCCATTAAGAACCTACACCGCAGAAATGGGCAGTAAAATTTCTGGCAGTTGAAGTATTCATTTTTATAACTGTACATATCATAAAGACCAGCCACTTATATTACCGTAAGAGCAATTTCTGGTTCAACTGTGGAATTTTTCAATCCAATGCTCTTAATTTTAGATATAGATTCCCTCAATGAGCCATATGCTTCCTCAGTAGTCATGCTGCATTTTTTCTGTTCAGTTCCAATTCGTGAGTCATCCAAAGTTTTAAGTGCATTGGCTTGTTGTGTGTCAAAGTAGTCTCGAGGATCCTGGTTTCAGAAAAAATGAAAGATCTGCAGCATCAGAAGAAAACAAAAAGAGTGCAACTGCTGCATTAAAACGGTGGCTTGTTGGAAGAGTGATGTCAAGGTGAACCTTAATACATAATTGAGCAACAGGATGATCGTGAGATTCTCGAAGGTCATCTATCTCATTCATCCGAGTAATCCTATCAAGTCTCTCCTGCACAGCACTCTCTTCAGGCTCTGCAAAAACAACCGGTGAAAGATAAAAGATGAAATATTGAGGGGAGAGCGGCATGGATAAAAAATCCCAATGGATAAACCAAAGGGGGAAACAAAAGACAATGCTAACCCTGTCTTGACCGCATAAGTGCCTCTGCAACATTTTCTGGATCTTCTAAATCCCCATCTGCAGTCAGGTTCAAAGTTATCTACTAAATAATAGATGAAAAATATAGCTCAGCCAGTTAATCAAACACCACCAAAATCATTTATACTCAATGCAAGTAGATAGAAGTGGCTCACGACATTTATTAATTATAGGAATGAAAATAGAATAGATTCAGGAGAAAGTCTAACCGACAGTTCTTCCTTGAAGAACAACAGCCCCTTGCCTGTTAAGGTCTTGCGATAAAGTCCTCCTGTACTGCTCATTCTGCAGTTCAGTGATGTCTTTGCTACCATCACGAAAAATCCCATGATCCTGATTTTTAAGACATATCAACCAGATCAGACACGGTAAAAATGAAATCAACTTTATGGCATCATAGAGACGATGTTAAGGATGATAAGAAAAAAAATTCATTGTGGATCAAAGGCATAAGTGGGTATTCTGAATATCAATATGAAATATGGGAATTGCTGAGGAATGTTTCTCCAATGTACCACATCTATGACTGCAAATCATATGACAAACGACCGTACAATTTGGGGGTAAGAAGAAAATTAGAAGGCTGCCTTTGTGAAAACATAGAGGCTGCTAAAACAAGAGACTCAAGAAAGGTTCTAGAAAACATACAGGAAGATGTGTATAATCATCCCCTTGGTCAGCTTCCATATCCAAAGTTGGATCAACCCGTCGAATCTAGAAAAACAAAAAGGCATAAAAATAAGAATATAAACAAATGCACCAGCAGCATCCAAGGTAAATCAAGACTTAGAGGGCAAAGGAAACAATTTTTTTAAGAGCACCTTCCGACGAGCTTCCCTTGCCACTATTTCATCCTCCTTTAAAAAAATTGCCAGTTCCTCATCCTCGGCAGCTTCTGCTGCAATTGTAGCGGCATTCTTGGTACTGTGGAGGAATTCAGCTCTGAAATATTTTGTCCAGAAGTCTTTTTCTGTCATCTGGAATTATAAACAGGAAAAGCTAGAAAAACATGCTTTGTGCGAAGTAAGAAAGCCAATAACAAACTACTCAATTTCAGTTTATCATCCTCAAACAAACTAAGGGTGATGACTAACATGGAATAGTGTGGTTATGTAAGGAATTGTTTGGATATCCTCACTACCTTACTGGGCACTAGTTTAAGAAATGCCTGGTGAACAGCTGGTTTGAGAGCAAAGATCTGAAAAGCAGTGCAACAAAAACTTAAGTGTAAGCGCCAAAGAGAGGTTTTCAATATGGATAGCTAAACTATCATTCAGAGTAATTGTATTTGTTGGAAATGAAAGAAGTATTATCTCAAAGAAGCGAAAAATGGATAACCATGCCTGATATTTAATCTCTGGAGTGAAATTAAATGTAACCTTGTTCATCTGGACAATTCCCAAAACAAAAAAACAAAAATAGTTAGTTTCAGAACCACAAGTTGATGATATGAAAAAGCTATGGATAACTAAAGGAACGCTTTATTATCCACAAATTAGTTCTATTAAAATGTCATCAAGGAGGTGCCAACTGTAACTATTGGCAAGAACAAACAAATCTTGGATCAGAGAGAGAGCGAGAGAGTTCAATGTTCTACCCGACCGTCACTTGTAGGTTTGGTGTCCAAAATCATTGAATTTTTAAAACCAACCCGTTGTTTTGGCTTTGTACGGCTATCTCCATCAAGCAACTTCTGCAATAAATTTGGAAAGGCAGAAATGTCACAGTAACCACCATACACTTTCCCCTAAATTTGTTTCAATTGTCAGTGTAGTACTGTGGGTGGGGAGGGGAACCAACACTATGTATAGGCTTGCAGTTGAAAAGAAAAACTAAACACAACTTATACAAACATGAATAAGAATCTGTCTTCATTACGGTCTCTCACCTTCCTAGTTGCCCAGAACTCAGATTCTGTCAAGACACCACTGATTACAAACTGCATATGAAGTTTCTGCAATTCACTGTGAAGAGTAAAATTTAGTGACTTAAAACAGTAGTTATACACAGAAAGCTCAGAAGCAAACAATCTAGTAACAAGAAATTGCAACACACCTTCTCAAAACCTCAGCTCATCATAAACATAAATTACAAAATTTTATTACTATCATTACCGTCCAAATTTCGACCTAGAAAACAAAGGCCAAGGAAATAACTTGTAGACAGAACAAGGCAACATGATAGTTGGATATTTTTGTTCATGTGGAGTTACTTTTTTTTTTTTTTTTTTTTTGGTGGACTGCTTGTACCAGGAGTGTTGAAAAAACCGCACACTAGACCTTGTTCTTTAATGTAACCAACAACAATAGACTAAACTAGCAAATATAGAAAACTTAGAAACACACAAGACTTATACTGGTTCGGCAGAACTTTTGCCTACATCCAGTTGTGAATTCTGATTTCTCTAGGTAGAGAAATCGCTGCTCCTTTGATTAATAATAGAGAATTACAGAACTTTTGCAAAACCCTAGAACTAATCTCTATCTCTCTTGTCTCGGTTGTCACAGTTTTTTCTCACACAGATTTATGCCTTGCCGCAACCTATTTATAGGCATAGGTTCAGCTTACATGTCACAAGGCTAATTGAATTCCTATTCTAAGTGGATTAGGAAAATACACTTATCCAAATCCAAAATGACTTCTAGAAATCCAAACCTAAATTGATTAAGGAAAACTGAAATTCTTTTCTAAACCCTCTAGGACAAGAATCGGTATACCTCTAATTTTCCCTAAATCAATCCTAAATCAACTAGGACACTTTGACGAGCCAAAAAACCTAACAAGGAGATGGTTCGTCGAAAACACCATGGGGCCAAATTGTTTGCAGAAAAGACAAGAAATCAACCAAATGCTTGAATTCAGCAATCTGAAACTGAAAAGGGACTGAAGCATGTTGAAAGTGGAGTCCATCCAGGTTTGGTCTTTAAGTGAGTATGAGTTGTACCCGATCAATGCTAGGAATCAAACTAATCAGAATCTACATTAAATTATTTCAACATTAACTGTTATTAATTGGTTTTGGGAGAAAACATTTGACTAGAAAAACAGGTGGGAACTTACAATCTACGAGTTGATGGAGTGCTTTCATGATTCTTCACTAGCCGTCATTAGATTTATATAATTTATTTCAACATTTTTCATTAAAAGTTGATTTTAGGGGTAAGTTATGACTAGGAGAATGTAAGAATTATTATAGAAGAAGTACATAGAAAATAAAGACGAGTGGCAATCTTGTATAAACAACATACGAGTTGGTGGTGTGTATTGTCCTGATTCTTAAATAGCTATCATCAGATTTACTTTTTCATTAACAATCTTTAGTAGTTTATTCTGGGCAAAAGTCTATGACTAGAAAACTGTAATATGTAATATGGTACAAAATAGAAAATAAAAACATGTGAACTTGTAGAAAGGGTGCGTTATCCTAATTCTTTCCTGCTGAGATTCTATTGCATTAAGATGAAAGTAAAAACCCATATTATAGTTCAACCAAAGAATTATTAAAAATAAAACATCTCTATAAGGAAATAAAATTAATCCAAAACTATTCCATGGCGCTACAAAATGTGAAATGCTGGTGTTTGCTATCTGATCGGGAGGAGACAAAGCTACCTGTCTTCTTGCAATAATTTCATACGGAGCTCCATTTCTGCTGCACTGAGTTGTTCATCAGGGAATGTAACTCCATCTCTCTCAGAAGCAGTTTTTGCAGTTTCTGTAGCCTTAGATAGGGCATTGCCTATTCAAAGACACCAAATAGCACAATCTAAGAGTAAATAATTAACTAAAACACGCCCAGACAGAAAAGTCAAATAATCTAACAAGAACAAAACAAAATAAGTTTCAGTGGACAAAGCTCGTAAGGAAAGCATTGGCATAAAAAACAACTGTTGGCAACTGAATGTTATGTAGAATCTTGTAGATGACTAAAAAAAGGTAAAGGCATGAAAACAGTCCTCCCACGGCTGCATCTACAAGCAGTATTTGGATGGAAAACTCACAAAATTCAACTAAAAACAGAAGTTGAATTAATCAGCAGAATGTTAGATTTGCAGATGAATGAGTCATTGAGTGGTTTCTAAAGAAATACAATGGCTACTGGTTATCTCTTACGATGCAGTCCAAGCAAGACTAAACATTTATAACAACAAGAAGCAATACAGAACAAAAGAGAAATGTGAAAATAGGACACAATCATCATAAAATTTCATACATGTTCTTGATGTGATTGAGATTTACCTACAAAATCTCGGCATTCATGAAGATCAGGATAACTTTGAAACTCAAAAATGTAACTTATACCCTGAAGCATCACAGTTGCAAGAATCCCGTCAACAAAGAATTAAGAAACTGCATCAGAGAAGCTATAAATTGTGGTAGGATGTAACATAAATTACAACTAAAAGAAAACCTCACGACTGCTGCTGAGATTAAGCAAGGGTGGTTGCTTGGATCCCTCCTTAGTGTTTTTGTGACCTGAAAGTTCATGAGCAAGAACAAGAAAAAGGAATTAAAAAAACACCTCCAATAGCGAGCACATAATCCAGAGAAATTAAATGATTGAATATCAAGATTAGCAAAGATAGGGGTCTTTTAGTTAGGAGTAATAAGACTTTTGAAAAAAAGAAGCAAAATAATGATCAACAAGGTGTTTGCTTCATAGAAATAAATCCGCTGCAAATATGACGAGTACCTTTAATATGTCTAAACTCCACATCAAGCATTCTGGCAGACGTGGGATCGTTTGGCTTGAACACAAACCTGTTCTCAACCTACACAGAACAACATATTCACAAAAACAACATTAAACCAATGAAATCCGATTGCCGCATATTTAGGGAAGTTTGACATATAGACCCCAGCAAAAACTATATCTTGGCTCAAAACTTGTAGCAAAGGTATCCTTACAACCAAGGACAAAACTCATTAATACAACCCAACTGTTGGTGCATGATTTGCAAGCTTATCCTCATCGACTATGTCCTTAAATGTAAGAAATTTTGAACTATGTCCCTGATCCCATAAATCTTAACCATCTATCAGCAATCGTAGAAAATAATACAAATTTGCAGAATAACAACAGCAGTAATTAGTGAAACGCGAAAAGCAATGCGATCGAATGAGAGAAAAACTTGAAGAAATAAGTACAAATAGGGCACCATAGTTAAAACGCCGGGAGTGCCAGGGTTTTTTACTGCATCCTTGTATTTTACACGCTTCACGACTCGCCTGGACGACGACGACGACATCTTCTTGTTGTTGTTCGCGATTGGCGGGCACAAAATTTCTCAAAAATCAAAAGAATTTCGAATCGATCAATCAAAATTGTCAAAGTCTCAGATATGGGATTCGGGGGATTAGGGTTTTAGGGTTGTTGGAGATATAATCCGCGCGCTTTTGTACGGACCGAGGGAGAGGCTGGCGCTTTCTTTCTCTCCCCAGCTCCTTCAATCAGTATCTGTGTGTCCCGGACTGTGAGCGTCTTTTATACTAATGAAGAAGGAAGACGAGGTCTACTAACTGAACCCGTTCATTTGCTAGGCACACCCACCCTCCATCTAACCTGCCCATTAAAATAATAGAAATTTTAACGAAAAGTTATCAATATTATTCATTTGAACGAAAAATTATATTTTTACACTAAAAAGTTAATCTTTGTATTATTTATTTTATCCTTATCGTTAAAACTCAAAGTTTTCAAACCATTTTGATTAGTTTTTCTTAAAATAAATCTTCAACAACAATCAAAATATTATAAAATTATCATTTTAACTTCCTTACCAAAACTGAACTCAAATAAGAAAATAAGACAAATTTAGTAATTACATGAACATAAATTTGACTCCTCACAACCAAATGAGTATAACATGTTCTATTTAAAAATTAAACAAAAAATAAAGTGAAAAACAAAAAGTATTCCAAGAAAGTTCTCATCATTATTTCAATTTTCATAACTAATTTTTTTTTTTCACAATTTTAAAAACTAATCCCATTTCATAATAAAATATAAAATAAAATGATATTCTTTATACAGTGTGTGTGGGCACTTGCTAATGTAAATAAAAGCCACTCACTTTGCAGAATTTTTGTGTTTCAGATCGTGTTCCCAACACATTGAAATGTTTCTTTCAAAATTGAGAGTGTAAATGGAAGTCCCTATAAGAGAAAATGGTAGAAATGGTTTCTCAACATTAACTCAATTAGAGCATTTCTCAAAATTACTAAGTGACCATTTCTCAAATCGGGTAAAAGTTGAAAAAACATTGTTATAATTTTTCTCATTTGGATTTCTATATTTGACCCTTGATTCAGCCTCACGCGTAACACGTAACTTATTTTGACGAAAGTTTTAAAAGAGTTGAGGAAAAATATCGTAACTACACATTTTGATGAGTTAGAGCACCAATGATCACGAATTTTTAATTGAGAAATCATTATTACAATTTTCTTGGGTAAGAATTTCCGAATTTTGGTAGTGAAATAGTGGCAGACTGGTAATTATCGGCATTATGAGATCTCTTTTACTAGTAGGTGGCAGTAGAAGGACTTCAACTGTCCCCTTAAAACAAAGCAGAGAGAGCAGAGCAGAAACGAGAGAGATGGTGCCGTTGTTGGTCACCAAGATCAAACCACACAACAAAATCAAATTTTGAAATTCAGGAGAGAGAGGAAGCAGAAGCAGCAGCAGCAGCAGCAGCAGCTATGAAGTTGTTGAAAGGAGAGGTGGGATTTCTCATTCTCTACGCGGCTGCTTTCTATGCCTTCATCATCCATCGATCCCTCCAACTCTCGCGCGGTGCGGTATCATCCATTTCTTCATCTATTTTCTTCTTTGTCTTTATTTATTTATTGAAAACCCATTTTTCTGATACGCAGATCATCATGCTAAGCTCTTCGGTTTGCGCCCTGGATGGCTCATTCCTCATCGCCTCAATGTGGGTTTCTTCCTTCAATTTCATTACTTTTTATTTTCTTTTTATAAATTCAGTTTTTTTGTTCAAAGATAACGTCGGAAATTCTACTTCAGATAATTGGGAAAGTGCTCTGGTGCAGTTTAACTGTTCTGTATATGTAAATTCTGAAGTGGACTGTGACATGCCGCTGTTCGGGCGGTTTAGTTCTCTGTGTGTGTGTGTGTGTGTGTGTGTGTGTTTCCCTGTTCTTTTTTAAGTTTTTCGATTAGTTGTTTGTGGTGTGGAGTCGGGTTTTAGGGATTAGCGTTTAGCTCTTGAGTTTTGAGCTGGCTAAACAAGGAGTTTGACGAAATTTAGAGTGTTGCCCGAAGGGCCAGTGGTGCCCTTCAAATGGCATGGTGTTTGAATATATATATATATATATGTATGTATGTATGTATATAACGTGTGTGTGTGTATGATGTATGTTTGTACGTAAATTCTATTCCTTCGCAATTATTATCTTAGGAAATAATGGTTTGGAAAATAGGGGATCAGAGCACATTAATGCTCAACCTTTGGAAAGTTTCCTGAGGCTGGAAATGTGAATTAGATTGAGGAAGAAGTTATCACTAGCAGATAGATTTTCAAATTCCAGAAGCATTACTCCGTTTCTATATATGACTCTTGTTCGTGTGTTGATTTACTGCAGTACCATGGTGTTAAAAACATTGGATGTACTGAAAATTCTAACAAAACTATGCAAGTTTTATTCTCTGATATTCCTGTTCTTACCTGAAAAGCACCTTTCTTTTTGCTGCTTAGGATGTTTCTGATGCTCAATGGAGAAACTTTCGAGGAAATTTTCCTGTTCTTACCGGTGTTTTCACAATGTTCACGTTGATTGCTAATTTGCTGATGACAAGCTTTCATTTAAAAGCAAGAGGGATGTCCATTATTTGGATTTTGATTTCATTCACATACCTAGCATATCTGCATGGAGCCTGGTATGTCTTACCTTCATAACTGTACTTGGATTATATGCTCTTTCGTAGGAGGTGCAGTTATCTGACTTCCGTTGTTTCTGCAAGCATTATATTTATCCTCGCAATCGCTTCAATGAATTTTCTTTTGGTAAAGGTGAGCTCCATTCATGCTTGGATACATAATGCAATGCATTTTCTTTTAGGGAGTTGTTATTATCACTCCAAAAATCTAAAAGTGCACTCCACACTTTCTATATTTAGAAAGAAAAATACTCTTATGAGGAGTGTACAATTAGATTTTTGGGGTGCCGACTGCCAATAATAGTTCCCTTCTTGTTTATCACATTATCGTTTGTCTTTTTTCTGTTTATATTTGTATTGCAATATTTTTCTTGAATTAGGTTTGTTTTCTGATATATACAGGTCCTACATGAAGTCTAAAGTATGTGTTATGAATACATAAAGAATATTGGTCAGCTTCCAAAACAACGTGATTTCTTGTGAAGAATTTGTTTTCCAACATTTTTAGGCTTAAAAGGTCAAAACTTGTTTTTTATGTATTGTTGGCGTAACAGTTGATGGTTTGTGCACTTTATGCCATCATACTCATTCTGCTTCTAGGAGTTAAAAGTTCTGCATTGTACCTTATTGCTCAAATGTTAACTGTTTAAGCTTATTATATACAATTACATTCTTTCTCATTTTAATAAATTTTGTGTTTCTTATAAAAAATAAAAATAAAAATTTACTGTGGCTTTGATGGAAATATTCTAGTCTCCCCCCACCCCACCCCAAAAAAAAAAAAAAATGAATTTATAATTGCAAACTTTTTGTATGCTTTACCAGATTCATCATATGGGCTACTGTTTTTGAGTCTATTCCAATGGTTCATTTTGTTTCTTTCTTTGTTAGAGTTATGCGCTACTGTTTTGAGTTCTTGCCATACATTACTGGACTTGTGTTTTTGCAGATATTTGCACGAACAAAGTACTTCCCTTTTGTATTTTGGATTTTCAACATATTCTTTCTTCTGTGCAATCGTGTTTATGAAGGATATTCATTCTCCATAATTGGGTGAGTTTTGTTGACTGGGCTAGGCCATTTAGCGCTTCATTGGGTACTTTAACAGATAAATTGTGATATATCTGCTTACTGGTTCTGCATATTATTATGTAGGCAACGCTGGGCATATTTGGACAACTTTCGGGGCACCTTTAGATGGCACATTTGCTTTAACTTTGGTATTGTGCTTTCCTCATTATTGTTTTGACATTTTAATTCCAGTTATCATACTTTAATTACTGTGTATTCATCTTCTTTTCCATATCATGTGCATATGACCTTTCATGAAATACGTGCATACCTATGTAGACCCAAATCTACCATGTAGCCACAAATCTATGTTGCAACCTGCTTTTATACTTTAGTATATATTTGTGATATTTTTTTTTTATCTCTTAATCTGGTTGTTTGTGACAGTTGTTTTGCGGATGATAAGCTTTGGCTATGATTACCATTGGGCACATCGAGATTCTCGTTTTGACCATAAGGTATTTGTGTTCCTTTGAGCTGTGATCTGTATGCTATCTTCTCTGTTCTGTCCCTCCCCCTTTTTTTTCTAGCATGTATTTTATAGGATTACTTTGCCACGGAGTCTACATGGAAATGATGTTACTAACCGTCCAACACTTCTGGTTATGGTGGTGATGCGGGACACTAGTAAGAGAAAGGAAGAAAAGAGTGATCTGGGATCACTCTCTGGCCTTTGGCAAAAACCATTAGTGTATTGGATTCACTTTACATAGAAATTAGAAAAAAATCTAGCCTCACAGCTAATACACTTTGAAATCCTAAAAGAAAATTCACAACACCTAATCATGTGACAATAAGAGACTCAAAGACATTGAATATGAGACTCCAAAACAATGAACCTAAAATACACCATGTAATTAATACATTAAAACCTTTTCAGGAGATTAATTTTTTTCCTCTGAAAACCTATTAGGCCTCTTTGTATATGCCAAACTGGTTTGACTTAGAGGTTAGTCTCCAGCCCACCTATGATTGTGGCCTGAAACTGAAATAATAACAAACTTGTGTTACTATTTGTTTTAGAACTTTATGGTATTTTTCTTTCCAGCTTGTTCTATGGATGAGAGTCAAGAGTGGTTATTACTTTCACATCACTCAACCCTGCATGTTTTCAATGTTCTTGCTCTGCAGCTTGCTTTTGAGTTGATATCTAGTTAGTTTTCTGGGTTGCACTCAATGGTACTTTAACATTGTCCTTCACAGGCTTGCCAATTACTATGTTAACAGAATTTAGTATAGTATTAACTACAAATTCTTAGGCCAATTCATGTGCCAGCATCCATTAACATATTTTCAGCAACCCTCTTTTGTTTAATGTAATTACTGTGAATCTTGGTGATTTCTAGTTCATTCTGATGGA